AGGTGCCCCGAGAATTTTAAGGTTTTTAAAAATAATTTATGAAATAGCCTTAATTTTTTTATCAAAACTTTTTCTTTATTTTTAGAAAGGGAGAGAGAGTGAGCACACGAACTAGGAGAGGGGTAGAAGGAGAGAGAATCTTTTTTTTTTTTTTAACATTTATTTCTTTTTGAGAGAGAGAGACAGAGACAGAGAGACAGAGCATGAGCAGGGGAGGGGCAAAGAGAGAGGGAGACCCAGAATCCGAAGCAGGATCCAGGCTCTGAGCTGTCAGCACAGAGCCGGATGCGGGACTCGAACCCACGAACCGGGAGATCATGACCTGAGCAGTAGTCAGAAATTTAACCGACTGAGCCACTCAGGAGTCCCGAGAGACAGAATCTTAAGCAGGCTCCACGCCCAGCAGAAAGCCCAATGTGGAGCTTGATCCCATGATCCTGGGATCATGACCTGAGCCTAAATCAAGAGTCGGCCATTCAACCCACTGAGCCACCCAGACGCCCCTAATTTTGTCTTAAATAGCTTTAATTGTTAACAGAGATTACCTCCGGGAAAGGAGCCGAAGGGAGGCGCAGGGCTGCAGGGGCACAGCTGAGCCGCAAACCACGCCCCCTGGAGTTGTGCGATAAGGCGGCTCTGGGAAGGGGGATTTTGCTTTTGCATTTGTTTCTTTCTATAATTTGAATATGTTAATTTTATAGATGCATTAGTTGACGTCTTTTGTGTGTCAGTGAGGTTTCTGGGCAGGGAGATTGGAGCCTTTCTGTTTGCTTTCTATTGTGTATGCATAAAAGACCAAGCTAATACAAACGATACACAGTAACATTGAGAGTGAGACACATACAAATACCTGCTTCAGTATCAGTTTGTTCCACACGCCTCCCCCCATCTTGCAAAAAAGGGTTGAAACATAACCTAGTGTGACAATTCAGCCAGCGCATCTGGCCCTGTTCTCTCAGCCTCGGGTCTATGTATAGAGTCAGTCCATGCTCTGTCTTTGGCTTTAATTCACAAATGCTGGAGAAAGAGTATCGTGAGTGCTGTTAGAAATCGGGCAGGGCAAATAAGTTATTGAGAAACAGGGTCAACTCTGACCCTAAATTCACTCCCCTTTTACAGCTCCACGTGAGAAATTTCTCTTGGAGCTTACTGCTAGCATATGTCACTTCCCCCCGGGGCACCGTCCGAGGTTTACTAAGAGCTCAGGCACCAGGCTCTGGGGAGGGTGCCGGCAACACAGCAGCCACACGCCTGCCCTCACGGAGCCTGGCAGGCAGACGGCAAAGAATCGGAGAATCACTCGTGTGAGCCTTCCTCGCCTCTGATGAGAACATGTAACCGGCCGCGTTTCCCTTTTCTTCTTGGCTGCCTGGAAGCTCAGAGCTACCCTGGCATCGCAACCGAAACAACTGGGGAGGCACTCCCAGTGTCCATTATCTCTATCCCGCCCTCCTGCTTTTATTTTTTCAGACTCATGTTCTTGTTGCACACACACACCTCAAATCTCTTGTAGAAAGGGGCAGATCATAAAGAAAAAGGTCATGGTGCCTTTTTTCTTTAATCTGAGGAAGCACCTAGCAAGCCAAAAATTTATTATTGAACTTTAGAATGCCATCAGTAATTTTGAGAGGACCAAACGGTTTTTGCCCTTTTTGTGCTGGGTACTGGCTGACAGGAAGTGAGTTTGCAAGAGGCTTGGGTGGGTACTGGGACTGCGGGTCGGCACCTCAGCTGCCGGCCCCAGCTGCCAAAGGGGGGTAAGGGTCTAAAGGTCCACTGGCTTTGCTCAATGTCCCGACACTGTGCCATTTCTCCAGCCCTGTGCACTCCCAAATCACCCAGATCTCCCTTCCCTCAGATCCTAACACCCAACAGAAAAGGAGGAGGAGCACTTCTAACTCAGCCCGCAGCCTAAGTTCTTCGAGACCTCTCTGCCTGGCTTCTTTCCTCCTTGTGCCAACAGTAAAGGGGATGCCGCGTCTGTCCTTTCGTCCAAGGGCGCAGCAGGGTGGCAAAGGGGGCTGGGTGGCAGGGCTCCCTGTCCTGGACATGCAGAACTGCTCCAGAGCTGGTCATAACTGGCAGTAACATTTACGTCTCCCACCCCGGGTTTGTTTGGCATCACAACTCAGTCCCTTGACCTTTCAAATGGAGGCTAAACATTAAGAAATCTCCTTCACTGGGGAGCATTCCAAAGACTCTCCATTGGCTGTGGCCACCG